AAAACTAGTGGAGGTGATGGAATTCCAGCTGAGCTATTTCAAGTCCTAAAAGATGATGTTGTTAAAGTGCTGCACTCATTATGCCAGCAATTTGGAAAACTGGAAAATTCAGCAGTGGTCACAGGACTGGAAAAGGTCATTTTTCACTCCAATCCCAAAGAAAAGCAATGCCAATGTTCAAACTACCTTAAAATTGCATTCATTTCACATGCTAGCAAGATTATGCTCAAAATCCTTGAAAAAAGGCTTCAAGAGTACCTGAACTGAGAATTCCAGATGTGCAAGCTGGATTTAGAAAAGGCAGAGGAACCAGGGATTAAATTGCCAACATACACTGGATCATAGAAAAAACAAGACAGTTCCAGAAAAACATCAATTTTTGCTTCATTGACTATGCTAAAGACTTTGACTGTGTGGATCACAACAAACTGTGGAAAATTCTGAGAGATGGAATACCAGCCCCCCCTGGAATGGAATACCTGCCTCCTGAGAAACCTGTATGCAGTTCAAGAGGAAATATTTAGAACTGGACATGGAACAATGGACTGGTTCAAAATTCAAAAAGGAGTATGCCAAGGCTGTATATTGTCACTCTGCTTTTTTAACTTATATGCAGAGTACATCATATGAAATGCTGCACTGGATGACTCACAAGCTAGAATCAAGATTTCTGGGAGAAATATCAGCAACCTCAGATATGCAGATTATACCACTTTAATGGCAGAAAGCAAAGAGGAACTAAAGAGCCTCTTGATGAAAGTGAAAGAAGAGAGTGAAAAAGCTGGCTTAAAACTCAACATTCAAAAAACTAAGATTATGGCATTGGGTCCCATCACTTCATGGCAAACAGATAGGGAAAAAGTGGAAGCAGTGACAGACTTTAATTTCTTGGGCTCCAAAATCACTGCAGAAGGTGAGTGCAGCCATTAAGTGAAAAGACACTTGCTCCTTGGAAGAAAAGCCATGATAAACCTACACAGAGACATCACTTTGCTAACAAAAATCCATATAGTCAAAGCTATGATTTTTCCAGTAGTCATGTATGGATGTGAGTGCTGAATCATAAAGAAGGCAGAATGCCAAAGAACTGATGCTTTCAAACTATGTTGCTGGAGAAGATTCTTGAGAATCCCTTGGTCAGCAAGGAGATCAAACCTGTCAACCCTAAAGGAAATCAACCCTGAATATTCATTGGAAGGACTGATGCTGAAGTTGAAGCTCCAATACTCTGGGCACCTGATGTGAAGAGCTGACTGATTGGCAAAAAGCCTGATGCTGGGAAAGATTGAAGGTAGGAGGAGAAGGGGATGACAGAGGATGAGATGATTAGATGTTATTACCAACTCAGTGGGCACGAGTTTCAGCAAAGTCCAGGAGATAATGAAGAACAGGGAAGCTTGGCATGCTGCAGTCCAAAGAGTCGGGCATGACTGAGCAACTGAACAATAGCCAGCTCTGATAGTTTTCTTTTTTCATATTTTCTAGTTCCTTGTTAAAATTATCATTCTGTTCATCTATTATTTTCCCTAGTTCAGTTAACATTTTCATTACTAATATTTTGAACTGTTTATCTGTTAAATTATTTGTTTTCATTTCACTAGTTGTTTGTTCAAATTTCTTTTGTTTGATTTGAAACAAATTACTCCAACTTCTTTTTGCTTAAATTTCTGTCTTTATGAAATTCAGTGAAACAGTCACATCTATCCCTTTTTTGAAGGCTGTCTTGTGTGGGTGCATCACTATACAGTCTGTGTGTGACTTTGGTCAGAGATCTGGATCAGAAATGAGCACAAATCTTATCTTCCCCTGGAGTGTGCTGGCGGCTATTAACTTGGTGGGATGTGGTTGGAGATGAAGGGGCTAGAGTCAGAGCCAGATGTAAGTTGGGGTTTTTTTCCATGGTCAGAGGCCAACACAGCCCCATCAGGGATATGGACTGTCTCTTGGTGCTGAAGGAGAAGCACTGAGGGTCAGGTTATATCTGATTTCCTGTTTCCTTTAAGTGTGTGCTCTCCCTGACTCTCATCATCAGCGTCTTTATCCAGAAGGGGTTAGAGCTGGAGTAGGAGGGGCCAGAGGGGCCCTGTTACAGGCCAGGGTGTGTTCTGGGGTGGCTCTGGCACACCAGTATTCAAGACTGGACCTGATATGCTACCTCTATGAGTGAGTACCACCAGCGAAGGCCACCCTACCTTGTTCAGATGTAGTGCCAGATCTAACTGACTTCATCCCTTACTGTTGCCTGTCCTCAGCAGTGACAGCCCTTGCCCTCGTTGGGAGCTGCACCATGCAGCAAGACGGGCTGAAGTGAACACTTGACATCGGCCAGAGCACACCCGTGGCCAGCGCGGGGAAATGATCAGCGTCCCAGGCAGGCTCCATCTGCTTCTTCCACCTTGTTTCAGGAGCAAGCAAGCATATGTGCTCTTCACAGAGTCTAAGTTTCCCAAAGCCCTGCTGCCAGCTCCATGGGTGTTCAAGTCAGCCAAGGAAATCTGTTTTCCCAGTGTTAGACTCTAGGACTGTGGAGGATATGTGTTCAAATCGCTCACTCCCCAGAGAGGATTTCTGAGTCCATGTAACCTCTCCCCTCTTCAGTGTCCCCTCCTAGGGGTGCAGCTCCCTACCTGATTGCTTCTTTCTCCTTCCTACCTGACTCAGGGGATCTTTCTTTACAGCTTTGGTTGTTTAGCAATCTTTCTGGCAGTCTCCAATTTGTTTTCAGTGAGAATTTTTCCATAGGTAGATGTGTTTTCAAAGTATTCATTGGGGGAGGTGAGCTCAGCAACTTCCTGCTCTGACATTTTCATCTCCCTAAGTAATTTGTTTTAAAAATAGCACTTCATATCTTTTAATCCCCTTCACCTATTTTAACCCTCCACCAACTCCTCTTCCCTTTGGTAATCCCTAGTTCCTTCTCTGTATCTGTCAGTCTCCTTTTGCTCTGTTAAATTTGTTTGTTTTATTTTTGATTCCACATATAAGTGAAACATTTGGTATTCGTCTTTCTCTGTCTGACTTACTTCCTTAAGTATAATACCCTTCAGCTTCATCATGTTTCCACAAATGATAAAATTTCATTTCTTTTCATGGTTGAGTAATACTCAATTGCCTATATACAGGCACCCCTTCTTCCTTATCCATTCATCTCTTGATAGAGTTTAGGTTATTTCCATATCTTCGCTACTACAAATAATGCTACTATGAACATTGGGGTGCATATTTTTTTTTCAAATTAGTATTTTTTCTTTCTTTAGATAAATATCCAGGAGTGGAATGGCTGGATTGTATGGTAGTTCTATTTTTAATTTTTGAGTAATATCCATGATGTTCTCCACAATGGCTGTGTCAATTTAAATTCACATCAACAGTGCACAAGGGCTGCCTTTTCCCCACATTCTCACCAACACTTATTATTTACTGTCTTTTGGATGATAACCATGCTGATAGGTTTGACATGGTATCTCATTGTGGTTTTGATTGGCTTTTTCCTTATGATCAGGGATGTTGAGCACCTTTTCATGGGCCTGTTGGCCATCTATATGTCTTCTTTGGGGGAAAAAAATGTCTATTCAGGTCCTTTGCCCAATTTTAAATGAGTTGTTTGCTAGGGAATGGCAACCCAGTCCAGTATTCTTACCTGGAGAATCTCATGGACAGAGGAGGCTGGTGGGCTACAGTCCATAGGGTCACAAAGAGTTGGATGTGACTGAAGTGACTTAGCCATCATGCACTGTTTCTGGGCTTTCTATTCTGTTCCATTGATCTCTGTCTTTTTATTTTTTTCTTTGCAAGACCATACTGATTTGATGACTGTAACTTTATAGTATGGTCTGAAGTAATGGAGTGTGTTATCTCCAGCACTGTTCTTTTTTCTGAAAATTTCATTGACTATTTGGGATCTATTGTGATTCCATAAAATTTTAGGATTATTTGTTCTAGTTTTGTGAAAACTGTCATAGGGGTCTTAACAGGGATTTCATTAAATCTATAGATAACTTTGGATAGTGTGGATATATTAACAACATAATTAATTCTTTAATCTATAAACACAAGATATCTTTCCATATATTTGCATCATACTCAATGCCTTTCATCAATGTTTTATACTTTCAGAATAGAAATATTTCACATCCCTGGTTAAATTTCTTCTTGAGCAATTTACTCTTTTTGATGCAATTATTAATAGGATTGTTTTCTTGATTTTTCTTTCTAGTAGCTTCACTGAGCTATCCTTTTCTCTTATGCATAACAATAATAATTTTTATATCACACTATTGTTTCCAGAATTATATGATTTACATAAAACACCGAACAGTTTCTGTCATTTACTGAGTAGTCAATAAACTGAGTTCTTATCTCTAATACCATATTTGTTGTTCAGACTACTTCAGTAGAGTTGAAAAGGTGAAAGCATTTAAGGATAAAGTATTTTAACATTTCACATGGAAGCCTTCTTAAGAAGTAAGTTGTACTTCTATTTACAAGTTGTGTTAGAGATGAAATTTAATCAAAAACAAACAAAAAAGTGGTAGAAAATTCTCTGAGGATTCATAATTCAGAGGTGATGGTACTGGCATGAATAGAAATAATCAAATTGATATTTCATAGACAAACTGAAATAATGAAGATGACAGATGATGTAACTCTAATCTACCTTGGTACGGAAAGAAATAGGAATTGGAATATTTTAGTTTAAAATTGCTGGATCCTTATCAAGAGTTTCAGTACATGCTCTATGTTAAGTACAAAGTAGATGATAGATCTTTAAAATATATATAATATTTCAGAATAGTTCAATGATAAAGTAGTGGTTTAACTTGAACAATATGTTTTTAAAGGACATTCCTCCCAATTAACACATAACAGAATCAAAATTAGTCAGGAATTTAGAGATCCTTAAGTCTTATACCAGGGAAGTCCCCTTATTTTAATTAGATTGCCTCAAAATGTATATATATATGTTCTTCAACTTTTGGGTTCTTAAGATTTCTAAAAGTTTAATAATGGTTCAGGGTCATTAGCTCTACTTTCACAAAATGGATAAAAATGATACTTAAATTATCACCAAAAATGTAATAATTTGTTTGAATATACATTTTCCTTAAAATTATGTTTAAGACCCAAATAGCCTTTAAAGTATAGTTCATTTTATGATTTTTAAATAAGCATATAAAATTGTCTGGTAAATTACATATTGTATGTAGTTTTCTTCCTGCCTATCATTTATTTTGCTCATAAGATAGTATTCAAATCTATGTTCTTATAAAGAACTAATTTCTAAATAATGTATTAAAACAATAATTATATTTTAATAAACATTAAACATATGAATATGAACATTATATTAATTCATGTTATAATTTTCTATTATTTTAAATAGAATGTGCATTAATAAATTAGTAGTATAAAAATATAAATGAATATTAGATTTAAGTAGGTATTAAGTGATAACAATGAAAAGATAGTAATAACATGGCATCACAAGCTGCTTTAAATATAGTTCAAATGTAAGGATACTTTTAGGCTTGACTAACTAGAACTGAGAGATAAAGGAACAAATTAAAAATGTGTCTCAATTTCTTTCACATGTACAAAGAAGGTGAGATTCAAAATAAATCTCTATAGAAGAATACAAATAAAATTAAAATTCTAGCACAAAATTTGTATAAAAATAAAGCTTTAAATAAAGATTAATATTGTAGAAATGAGAGGAAAAGTGAAGGAAATATGTATTAGAACTACATTGGATATGCTGCTGTTGATTGATGCCCTTTTGCTTATCTTCTTTATGTATAGTGCAAATCACATTCATTTCTTTGAGAAAGAAGCAACTCTGTGTATCCTATTCATGAAGCTTTCTTCACTTGTTGGTTCCTTAAGGTAGAAATGAAAGGATTCAAAAGCGGTGCAACAGAGGCGTTGAGCCCTGAAATTCCTTTGGAAAAAGATGTTCTTGGTTTGACTGAAGGTTTAACAAACACAAAGATGAAGCTGCCGTAAGAAAGGGATATCACAATCATGTGAGAAGAACACGTTGAAAAAGCCTTTCTCCTGTGACTAGCTGAGGGAATTCTTAGAATGGTCAAGGCAATGCAGGTATATGATAGGGTCACCATTACCAATGTGATCACCAATGTCACCACAGCTGAGATGAATCCCATCATCTCGATTAACTTTGTATCTGAGCAGGAGATTTGTAGGAGGGGAGTGGTGTCGCAATAGAAACGATCAACAAAGTTAGAGGCACAGAAGTCAAGGTTTAGGCCATAGAGGAGTGGTGGAAAGATGACCAAAAATCCAGCCAACCAACAACTGAGGACAAGCTGCATGCAGATTTTACCGCTCATGATGGTTGTGTAATGCAGGGGCTTACAGACGGCAACATAGCAGTCGTAGGACATCACTGCCAGTAAGTAAAATTCAGACGCTCCAAGAAGAAAGACAAAAAACACTTGAGTCACACAACTGTTATAGGAAACGGTTTTGTCTCCTGTTGCCATCATAGCCAGCAATTTAGGGATGCATGTAGTAGTATATGAAATTTCTAAAAAGAAAAATTTTGAAGGAAAAAGTACATGGGGGTCTTCAGGTGAGTATCTACCAGGGTAAGTGTGATGATAATCAGATTGCCAGTGATGCTTAGCAAGTAGGTGAGTAGTAGGAAGATAAATAAAACAATTTTCATTTGTGGGTCACTTGTTAAACCTGCTAGAATAAACACTACCACCCTTGTATGATTCCCATTCCAGTTTTCTGACAATTGCTCTGTCTGAATAGAAGAAAAAGAAAAAAAAATGTACCAAATGGAGACATAACAGGGATAATCATTATTTAAGGTAAAGTTGGCAAAGCAATTTTTATGTACAGCAATACATGTGCAAAATATCTGGATAGATTAATTGAAAGTTCAGCTTGCAATTCTTTTAGAGAATAATCTATATAACAGCACTAATTGTTGACAGTTTTTATGTAAGTCAATCAGGGATAAAGAGAACTTTTAAAGTATAAGGAATGCTTTTTCTCTCTTTACATCATGCAAGAGTTTGGATATATGCCATTTCCTGTTCAATTAAGTTCTCAGACAAGAACCAAAATTATACCTGTCATTGAAGCCTGGGTTTCATACACACACACACACACACGCATGCACACAATTCATCCTCAATAAACAGAGCTAGTACATCTTTTCCATTTTACTCAATTAACCAAACTCAAATGCCTGATTTTAGACTCATTTATTTTCATAGCTAACCTTATCCGATTTCATACAAATTAATATGGGGCATTGGAAATAGTCTTCTGTTCTTAGGTTTCCCTGGTGGTCCAGTGGTTGAGAGTCCACCTTGCAATGAAGGGGACACCAGCTCGACTCCTGGTTCAAGAGAATCTCATATGCTGCACAGCGAGTAGGCCCCTGCATCACAACTACCGACCCTGCACTTCAGCGCCTGTGCCCTGCAACGAGAGAAGCCACTCCAATGAAAAGCCGGTTCACTACAACCATACAGAGTAGACCACATTCCCAGGAACTAGAGAAAGCCCGCACAGCAGCGAAGACCCAGAGTAGCCAAAAATGTGTATGTGTCAGTTGCTCGGTTGTGTCCGACTCTTTGCGACCCCATGAACTGGCTGCTAGGTTCCTCTGACCATGGAATTCTCCAAGCAAGAATACTGGAGTGGGTTGTCATTTCTTTCTCCAGGGGATCTTCCCAACCCAGTGATCCAACCCAGGTCTCCCTCATTACTCTCCAAGCCACCTGGGAAGCTCAGCCAAAAATAACTAGCTAAATAAATAGAATTTTTTAAAAGTCTTATTTTTCGTTCTTTATAGTATTTCCATCTCCTTGGTCTCTGATGTAACCTATCCTTCCCATTTTGTATGCTAAAACAAAATCTGCAAGTACAGTCTGTAAAGTCAATGTGTGTATTGAAAAACTGCAATTTTCCTCTGCTGGTTAAGATTCTGAGAATGGATGTGGTAGAAAAAAGTGAAAAATAAGGATAAGGGATACAGAAGCAAACAGAGAAATATAAATATGACATCATGAGATTGTATGAAGTGGAGGAAGTTAAAAGAAGAGAAATATAAACAGAATGGTAAAGCTCTATGCAAATCAAGAGAGGTAAGAAAGGTTTTTCAAGGATAGGGTAGTGAGTTTGAAGGAAAAATTAAAGTAAGGTTAAAATATGTAGATATTAAAGGAGAAAATTTTTATGAATGAAATTTATCTCCATCTGCTTGCATTCCTTATACTTACCTTGTTGTTCTCTATCTAAAATACAGACTGAAAACATGAACAATTTTGAGAGAAGCTTAGTCTAAAAAAAGACAATTAGCTGATAAATTTCAATACATAATGAATCACATAATAGGGTGACACAAATATTAAGAGACACATATGTCCCTATTGTAAGGATATTATGTGTCTGGGTAATGTGCAAGTAAATAAATATTGTCTATTTACAACTATTCCCCTCACTGGCATATATTGAGTGAGACAGATTATTCAAGCTTGCACAGCCAGTAAAAGTGGACATGAAGATTAATTAAAAATGTGTTCTCTCTAAAGTTGTCCTCTTAGTAGTAAAACATTTTTATGAATAATTAGAAGCCAGAATATAGTGTATTTGCTCAAATTCATGTATCAAAACCATATATGCTAGTATATAGAAATTTATGAATAAAAAGAGATGACATTTTTCTTGGACACTCTTTGAACATTCAGAAAATTGTGCAGCAATCTGTTACAATTTTTTTTCTCATTTACACAATTTATCATAATGACAACAATTGTAGAATGCACATATCTAAATAATCTTATAAGAATTTTATCATGTTACATCATTCCTTTGTCCAGCTTCACCAGTCATATCACACCAACGATTCCCCAACAGAGGCTATAAAAAATTTACATTACATTCACCAATCATATCACACCAATGATTCCCCAACAGAGACTATAAAAAATTTACATTATAAACCATTAGAAAGAAGGCCTATGGACACAGTTAGGGTTAGCTGTGTTAGATATTGTGAATGCCAGCTATATTACAAAAAAAAAAAAAAGGAATTTCAAGACTAACTTTTTGTTATGTTGCATTACACTTCTTTCACTGTTTTCCCCTAAATCAAAATTTAAAAGGTTAAAAAAAATAAGGTAAAGGAGAACTAATGTGTGTATATATATATACACACATATGTGTATAAAAAAATATTATCTTTACATTTTAAGACATACCGATTCTTTTCATATGTTGAGTCCTAAATCAGTCTGCCAAAAACATTTAAAAATCCAACATTTTCTTTACAGAAGACAAATGTACATATTCATTCATGTGAACTATCTTTGCCTCAATATTTAGTTTTTGTCATAATGCTGAATAGTGTACTGATATTTCATTCTTCTCCAAATGGATTTCACTCCACTTCATAATCTATGATTATAGTTTGTTACATATACTTCAAAGTTTGAAACAATTTGAATAGAACTTTTAACACAGTTTTTAGTCTACTACTTTAAAGTCCCCATTATATACTGAATACTTTTCTATGTACTACCCAGCGTGCCATACAAATTAATAAACTCTTGACCACATGTAGTGTTTATGCTTCTGTGCCCTGAAGGAAAATATCTAAAGATGATGGAGAATTCTCAGGAGGATGAGATTCATGAACACCATTTCCCAAAGGACAGCAAAATTGTATATTATAAAGTGTTCTCTCTAGGCACTAAATAATTTAATATATGTATAGATATAACTACTTTTAAAGTATTTCCAAAGAATTAAATATAATTTGCCTAATATATGATTGCCCTTCCACACATTCATGCTTAGAAATCCCAGATATATAGATAAATATTTTGAGGGAGAAAGAGAAAATAGTATTTTATTTTAATTAATAATAAATAGTAAGAATATTAGATGGAGAACATAGCTTGTTATAGAAAACATGGTATCTTAGGCTAAATGCATAATTATTAACAATTCAGTTCAGTTCAGTCGCTCAGTCGTGTCTGACTCCTTGGGGCCTCATGAATCGCAGCACACCTCCCTGTCCATCACCAACTCCCGGAGTTTACTAAAAATCATGTCCATCAGGTCAGTGATGCCATCCAGCCATCTCATCCTCTGTCGTCCCCTTCTCCTCCTACCCCAATCCCTCCCAGCATCAGGGTCTTTTCCAATGAGTCAACTCATCGCATGAGGTGGCCAAAGTATTGGACTTTCAGCTTCAGCATCAGTCCTTCCAATGAACACCCAGGACTGATCTCCTTTAGAATGGATTTGTTGGATCTCCTTGCAGTCCAAGGGACTCTCAAGAGTCTTTTCCAACACTACAGTTCAAAAGCATCAATTCTTCAGCACCCAGCTTTCTTCACCGTCCAACTCTCACATCCATACATGACCACTGGAAAAACCATAGCCTTGACTAGACAGACCTTTGCTGGCAAAGTAATGTCTCTGCTGTTTAATATGCTATCTAGGTTGGTCATAACTTTCCTTCCAAGGAGTAAGCGTCTTTTAATTTCATGGCTGCAATCACCATGTACAGTGATTTTTCAGCCCCCAAAAATAAAGTCTGACACTGTTTCCACTGTTTCCCCATCTATTGGCCACAAAGTGATGGGACTAGATGCCTTGATCTTTGTTTTCTGAATGTTGAGCTTTAAGCCAAATTTTTCACTCTCCACTTTCACTTTCATTAAGAGGCTTTTTAGTTCCTCTTCACTTTCTGCCATAAGGGTGGCGTCATCTGCATATCTGAGGTGATTGATATTTCTCCCAGCAATCTTGATTCCAGCTTGTGCCTCATCCAGCCCAGCGTTTCTCATGATGTACTCTGCATAGAAGTTAAATAAGCAGGGTGACAATACAGCCTTGATGTGCTCCTTTCCCTATTTGGAAGCAGTCTGTTGTTCCATGTCCAGTTTTAACTGTTGCTTCCTGACCGGNTTTATTGAGCCCACCTTTGCATGAAATGTTCCCTTGGTATCTTGAATTTTCTTGAAGAGATCTCTAATCTTTCCCATTCTGTTGTTTTCCTCTATTTCTTTGAATTGATCAGTGAGGAAGGCTTTCTTATCTGTCCTTGCTATTCTTTGGAACTCTGCATTTAGATGGGAATATCTTTCCTTTTCTCCTTTGCTTTTTGCTTCTCTTCTTTTCACAGCTAAAAGATGTGGAGAGGTCTGACAGAATGTGGTCCACTGGAGACGGGAATGGCAAACTACTTCAGCATTTCTGCCTTGAGAAACCCATGAGCAGTATGAAAAGGCAAAATGATAGGATACTGAAAGAGAAACTCCTCAGGTCGGTAGGTGCCCAATATGGTACTGGAGATCAGTGGAGAAATAACTCCAGAAAGAATGAAGGGATGGAGCCAAAACAAAAACAATACCCAGCTGTGGATGTGTCTGGTGATAGAAGCAAGGTCCGATGCTGTAAAGAGCAGTATTGCATAGGAACCTGGAATGTTAGGTCCATGAATCAAGGCAAATTGGAAGTGTGTTCAAACAGGAGATGGCAAGAGTGAACGTGACAGTGAAGAGTGACATTCTAGGAATCAGAGAACTAAGATAGACTGGAATGGGTGAATTTAACTCAGATGACCATTCTACTGTGGGCAGGAATCCCTAGAAGAAATGGAGTATCCATCATGGTCAACAAGAGTCTGAAATGCAGTACTTGGATGCAATCTCAAAAATGACAGAATAATCTCTGTTCGTTTCCAAGGCAAACCACTCAATATCACTGTAATCCAAACAGTATGCTGAAATGCCCCAAACAGTAATGCTGAAGAAGCTGAAGTTGAACAGTTCTATGAAGATCTACAACACCTTTTAGAACTAACACCCCAAAAGGATGTTCTTTTCATTACAGGAGACTAGTGTCAAGAGACACCTGGAGTAACAGGCAAATTTGGCCTTAGAGTACAGAATGAAGCAGGACAAGGGCTAATAGAGTTTTGCCAGGAGAATGCGCTGGTCATAGCAAACACCCTCTTCCAACAACACAAGAGAAGACTACACATGGACATCACCAGATGGTCAACACCGAAATCAGATTGATTATATTCTTTGCAGCCAAAGATGTAGAAGCTCTACACAGTCAGCAAAAACAAGACTGGCAGCTGACTGTGGCTCAGATCATGAACTCCTTATTGCCAAATTCAGACTTAAGTTGAAGAAAGTGGGGAAAACCACTAGACCATTCAGGTGTGACCTAAATCAAATCCCTTATGGTTATACAGTGGAAGTGAGAAATAGATTGAAGGGACTAGATCTGATAGACAGAGTGCCTGATGAACTATGGACGGAGGTTCATGACACTGTACAGGAGACAGGGATTAAGACTATCCCCATGGAAAAGAAATGCAGAAAGGCAAAATGGCTGTCTGAGGAGGCCTTACAAATATCT